TGAATATTTTCTCTCTCGTGGTTAACAAACAATTTTCTGTTTTTCTCTCTTGGGATTGACTTATGTAGGGAATTGAAAATGTGACAGCCATTTTTTCGTATTATACGCACACACAGACAGCCATTTTCTAATACCCAACACTAAAGTCAAGGGAACAGAGTATACAAGGTACCACTCGTCTGCACTCGCTCGGTCCGCTGACTTTTGGAACTTATATCTGTGAACGATCTCCCATGACTTTGAAACCCAGACAACACTCACACCACCCTTCGGTCGGCGTTTGCTAGATGACTATCTAAAATATGTTATGAATTTTTCTCTGATTTAATGTGTAAGCTTTATAGCCTAATACAAATCAAAAACGTTTTTTTGAGACCCTTCAAAGATTCTGAGAGGTCTAAACATATTGACAATGCCAGTATTCTGACTGCCATAGTTTATAAAAAAATGTTTTCAAGTTTGTTTTTTGAAGGCTTTTACAATAAACTTCTGCTTGAACGAGGCGATCTTCAAATTTCTTACGAATTTCAAATAGATCTTTCTCTTAAGAGTATAACACTCTTCAGAACTCGTACGAATTCAAAACAGTCTTCCCTATACTATATTAGAACATAATACAGTTTTCAACTCGTAACATGTTTTTAAACTCATACGAGTTCAAAACAGCCTCCCCAGCCTCCCCTATACTATATTAGAACATAACACAGTTTTCAACTCGTATTAGAATATAGCACTCATTTGGACTCGTAACGAGTTCAAAACAGCTTCCGACTGTAATAGAAGACATTAGTATTTTTCATCTCGTAACGAGTTTAAAGACTGCCACCCGTGTAGTATGTCCATAATAACGGAAGTATCTGATGAAGATTAGGAAATTCTAACACTAGCGTAACATCCTGTAGGCGAAATTCCTTCTTAGTCATCATGCGTCTAGTATATTATCTCAATAAATAATCTAACCTAGATTTAAAAGTTTGTTATTTATGTTAACAAATAACAAAAAGCTCAATACTGTTTGATTGAAAATGGTGTTTTCTGTTATGATAAGTGAGTACAACTAATCAATTCCGTTGCTATCGCAACCAATTGACCAAATGACGCTCCACGCACGCTTCTAGAAACTCCAGTGACTAATCCTTGAGATAAAATAGTATGGAATCATGGAGTAGGTTTCACCATGTTTATCTGGCTTTTCATACGCCGATTTATCTCTAAAATTGAAGTGGAGCCGAAGTTTCGTGCTCTTTCCAGATTTTAGTTCAGTATTTTCTTACTTCTTTAGGTCACGGAGCTGTGAGCTAATGCTCGAAAGGCCTAAAAACAACATTTGGACAGAAAAGATTCATTTGTTCCTCAACAGGATATTCACTTTTCGAGAATAACGCTTTCTTTTTTACATTTGATTTATGCGTGAAGTTCTCTCTACGAAAAAGGAATAAACGCGTGAACTTTGTTACTCATTGAGCGATACTTAGGCAACTGTCTAGGAAGGAGCGTACCACACGCACATCAACCTCGTCCTCACTGCGGGCTAGATGTCTACTAGCAGTGCGCACCTAACATTTCAAGAGACAGAACAAAAATCAAACCAAGATAGGGTTGCCTAAGTGTCGAATCACTAATTCTGAGTACTCAAAAATGAGCGAATGTTTCGTCTAGAAACTTTTAGTCCGGTCGTTGATAAGCAAAAGTTCTCCATCGTCAGTTTACCTAATGTTTTGAAAAATTTCTAAATATGATATTCTCACTTAATAAGTAAGGGACGCGGTTTGGTATGATCAAGGAAATCCTAATAAATCGGCGAAACGACACGGTTTCGCTAGAAGAGATAAATCGGCGTATGAAAAGCCAGATAAACATGGTGAAACGACAGTCAACTTCTCTGTGAAATCTGTGGTTCTGCCTTTGTTTCCAATAGGAGTAAGAAATACTCTTGCCATGAATATTAGATGCATATAAAAGTAAATGTAAACAGGAAAGCCTACGACTTGATAATGATCAATAGCATTTGATTAATTAATAATATCGATGTTTTTGTGGATTGAAGTTGTAGTTTGTGTCATTCATTCGTTGGATAGTTTGAGTTGAGCTAGAAATTCCATGAACAGAAAACTAATTTCTGGCTAAATTTCTTTTTCATTATTTTACATGGTTTTAATTTATAATACATTTTATACATGTTCGAACTTACGTCATATTTTAGATCACCGATTATTTCTATGCTATGCACCATTTATTTCATATGACTCTAGACTTTCAGCCAAGTGCATAAGGATCATTCCCTGTGCAAAATTCTTCGATCAGTCGCTACTTTTTGTATTTGTTTTAGCTAAATTCTTTGTAAACTAGATCTACAGCATGACGGAATGATTTAAGGAATAGTTTCATTGCTAGGCCATTATTACATGATTCGATTTTGTGCAAACGACAAAGTCAAAATGAAATCTTTTCTCAACAGGAACAAAGAATAGGCTATGTTCACAGCGTTCATACAGTTATTCTACCTTTTCTGTTCTTTAAACTTTGTTTCTTAACTTGCGATATTTTTTAGTTTTCACAATAGTGTGTATGTGCTAACGATAAATACTACCCACATAACGTTATAAGTCAAAAACTATTTTTAGCACAAAAGCCTGAAGTTTTAACGTGTTAATTAGTAGACGAAGTGGTAAACCAATAACACAGTCTTGTCACGATTTTTAGAAGGCAAAGATTAATCGCACGATTGATCAGATCTTTTTTTGGTGATGCATTATTAATTTTCATCGAAACGCAAATACATGTGCTGTAATGTCTAATATATGATGATCGAATCCCTTTTGATGGCATGAGGTTGATCAGCGACATATTTCCGTTTGCTCGCATTTCGGCTTCATTTAATTTAGCTAGAGATATCGGCCAAATTAATTAAGTATGTGATGAGAAACGCATAAAAGAAGTCACGCCGGTTATTAAGTTGGATATTAGAATTGTGCTTACGTGTTCAGTACAACATCTTGCAAACCGATTTCAAAGACGCCGTTCGCTGATATCTTGTTCCAATCAACACTAGTCTTCCATCGATGAAAATGGCAGAATAGATATTCTTTTCCACCCACCTTGACAATAGCTTTTTCCACTCTTCTTTGACGTTGACTTCGCATGACTGCTACCCCATATCCATCTTGTGGTGACTTAGTTATCTTGATACACCGCCTTTCGTGGACAAGTATCCATCCTTGTCCTACGCAGGCTGTGCTGCTGATTACCTGGACCTCTTCAATGTCAAGAAATTTAAACTTTTTGGTAATTGCCTGACCATCGTCGCTAGTTCCATCATCCTTGACGCTTTTTTCAACAGTTAAACGCGGCGGTGAGTCGGCTGAGACAGTAACTTTGCTTTCCAAGCTAATTATTGTTGCATCTCGCAATTGTAAACCGGGTAATTGTATCCATGTCAGATTCACGTTGCTCATGACAACTGCTGAAAAATCACCTTCCGTTATAGTATAAGTAGACCATCTACCACTATCTACTGCTTCAAGAAATGCCGTTGATGAGGAAAAGCGTTTCATCTGCGTCCAAAGAGAAACGAGCGATCGATTATTCTTAAAAATAGTGAGTTGCCCACGAGTGAACAGCTGATGGTAATCGCCGTACGGAAACGTGACTATATCATATTCTTGTGCGAAACTCACTGGATATAATTTGTTGAAATCACCTAACCACATGTCTATGTCTCCAAAAGCCCAGTGTGAATAGCAGGAGAGGGAATTGCGAAAAATGCTTGCTAACATAGGTTTAATATCTACTAATCGATACGGTGAACTCATGAATTTAGCTTTCATATGTTTAAATATGAGGTAAAACTCACGAGTGTCGCATTTCCATTCTGAGCACAAGCCATCGGTGATGTAGAAATGAATGACTTCTTGAACGACACAGTGAATATGAACGTTTGTTTTATCATAACGATGTTGAAACTGAATACAATTGTCACTTGAAACAAGCATAAAAACGTCGATGGTGGGATTTCGTGAGGCAGTAGACAAAAAATGTTGTGTGTAGACAGGGAGGTTTTTGCCCGAGAATATCATCAAAAGAGCAAAGTGTACGCCAGCACGACATTTAGTAACTTCGAGGCGATACATGTTGCGCAGGGCGATGATGACTGCAGTGAAATCAATGAGTTGATGCTCGGAAATAACTTTGTCATCGACAACAGATTTTAGCAGTTGTTCGATAATATTGGGGGCATGAAACATTGAACATGCTGCCGGCCGATCTGTTGAAGCTGAGACTTTCAGGACTAGCGTTGCTAATGACTGGAGGTGCGGTGGCATCGCAATATAGAAGAGTAGGCTTAAAACCACCAGAATGATAGCGAGTTTAATCAGTTTTCGTATGTGACTTACAGTCACATTGTATGTCCGGCGTAAGGATGTCATTGAAGACTTTTATCGCTTATTTCTTGAATCCACTTTATATAAAATCTTTGTGATTGATAATTTGTCGTTTTTTTGGCTTTTAAGTTAAGTAATCCATGTCGCATGATCTGCAGAACACTCAGGCATTCTGAATCATTACGTTTTGTGTAGATGATTACACGTATAAGGGAGGAAAGAAAGTATGTATCGAGCAGCAAACAGCAAGTATTACACCTTTTATCCTTCTTTCACGCAAGCACACACAGATATATCCAGTGAAGGACAAAAAAAATATGATATTATCCTCATCTCACACGTGACTCATCCCCGAAGAACAGAGGAAAAAATCTCCTTTCGTAAGCATATGGTGATTCTGTTTCATGTAAAGGATTCTGTATGCGAAATATCCGAAAGTATTTATGGTTAAACGCTCATTACACCTTGTTACTGATCAAGATAACTAATACTATCTTTTCCTATCCTTATTTCAAATCTAACTTTATAAATACTTATGATGATATGAACCGAGAAACCAAACTCCTATATACAGTCTTAGAAGTATTGAAAAATTATTCAGAATGCGGACTAACCGAGACTGGGAGAACCAAGAAAAGGATGTCTAGAATGCTCTCGATATCTATCAAATGTGCCTGCCTAGGTGCGACATCTGTCGGAGAACGGAGTGACATGTATAACAACAACTACACTTACAAAAGGAAAATCCTTGCATACCACATCTTAAGAATAGTGCTTGTCCGTTCTCATTACTATCGAATAAAAATTTTATGAGTTTTTGGGCATCTTCGAGAAACAAGATACAGAGAGCTGATTTCACGTTATATGCTGACTGATCCTTTAAAACTTAATTGTTTCGTCACTTAGTATCAAAATAAATGAGGAATGCGCCAGTCTGTGAGAGGTATTCACATGCAATATTTATTACACACTTGTGATCAACTTTGATTTGCGATAAAAGACTGACAAAGAACTTGCTTAAAATCATTGGTAACTCCACATATAAAAACATAGAAATTCCATCCCCTTTTCTTCACCGTTCCTCAATGCACAGTGTTTCGTTCACGTTTTTCTCGGAACAGCTTCCAGCAGTATCTCATCAGGAAAGCATCCGAGAAAGTTATGACTGCAACAAAAACGTTCAAAATTTGATTCTACACTGAACAGAATCTGGTAGTCAGCGAGAAAACACGTAATTACTGCTTTTCTCAGCAGGAAGACATCGTAGATTTTAGAGCCGGGATCAAAAAAATGTACAGAATTAATTTCTGAACTTAAGGCATACGCGCAGTACCCCATGAGTTTCTGAGAAACGCGTTAATTAGCAAATCACTAATTTCAATAATTTGGGTTCAGTGGCGTAACCAGGATTTTTAGGTTGGTGGACCGTGTTCCATAGAGTTGAAAGAACTCAGTGGACCTAGGTGGGCCGAACATTTCCTGCTTAGACAGGAAATCTATCGACTGTTGCCAGTTATGATGTCGTCTTTCCGTGCTGCTGGTTCCCGTGGCTATGACCTGTTCTCAATGCCACATATTCTGTACGCTAGTGGATGCAGAGAGAAGCCTGAACTGCGGTAGTCTGGTCACCAGACATGCAAAGAAATAAAGAATAAGCACATGCAATAGTGTATTGTGCAATAAGCACTGTCAACAGTGTATTTTTTTCAGTTTGGGACCGCTTTTCAGAAAAACTTTTATAATTTCAGAACGAAAAGGACTTGAAACGAAAAGAGTATAAGGTACAGCTAATTTTTGATGGCGAATCAAACTGGAGTAGTTTTTATAGAAATATAAGCTGATGTTCTTCGTTTCCTGGTTCATTTGACTAATGCTTCATGGCATGGCGACTGACTCTTGAGCCCTTTAAAAAATTTAACTGTGATATCCAATATGTCACGAAAAAGACATCATGAAGATAATATATGTCGCTTCGGGGTCAATAAATAGCATATAGCAACTTAGATATATTGACACTTGAGAAAAATATAATTTATTATTTACTTTGAAGATATTTTTACATAAAGTCATAAAACAAGTTTTATTTATGACATAATAAAAAAATTCTGTTTCTTCAAGGCTTTTACCTTTTCTCTTGTAGTAGCCAGCATAGTTGAGTTTACTAACTAACTCATACTCATAGCTGTTGACTTTTATCAGAACTTTTAACTATTTCAGCCTTTTGTTCTTTGTTTCTACTCCTGCGATCCCACAAACTATTTGCCAGTGTATTTAATGGTAAAAACCTGTTGGAGCTTCCCTAACTGATTGACCGAATATGGTATGAAGGTCACCTCACAAACAATGCATTTTGGAAAGATTCTGTTTATGAAAAGTTGTTCACAGTATTTGTCTCCACTACATAATACATTTTTCTCGCTTTACTTCGCTCGTCTTGTTTCAAGTGCATTATGTTTGTTAAGTAAAGAAAAAGTTCTAGATATTTTAGGTTGAATGCATTCATATCGAGTCGAAACAGATTTGGCTGGAGTTTTTTGCAGGTGAGTTGAAGAAAAATCTTTTTTGCAAGTTACTTATAAGTATAAGGACATGACCAATTCAAAAATATCTCTGCTTAGGTCTTTTCCGTTACCGACATAGGAGACATTCTTTCCTAAAAATTGACTCTTCACTCCGAAGGCAAGATTGGTGAAATTGGTTACTCAGGCAACTGTAACTTTATACGTAATTTCTCTGGCAGCTGTAATTTTATAAAAACGTCTTCCATGGATGGCAAATTTTGGACTTTTGGCATTTTTAACCATGTCGGACTTCTGATTTTTTCACGATTATAAGTAGCCGGCAGAAAAAGTGGTTACTTATGGTTATTTTACAAATAATGTCCCCTATCTTGGTAACGGAGACCTAAGTAGAGATATTTCTGTATTAGTCATGTCCTTATGCTGATAAGTAACTTGCACAAACGACTTTTCTTCAACTCGTCTGCAAAAAAACTCCAGCTAAATCTGTATGATTCCATATTTGTTATCTAACTTTAAGTTATGATATACACAACTGATTCTTCTGCGAAATATCATCTCAGGAAGTGCTCCGCAATACTTAAATGTTTTTCTTCAAGTAGAGATTCCGGTCTGTACACTATACGATGCGTGAAGTTTGCGCTTGGGCAGGAAATCTTTCCGACTGTTGCCGCCATTTTCCGTGCTGCTCGGTACCGTGCCTATGATGAGGTGTTCTCAATATCGCATATTCTTTACGATAGTGGATGCAGAGGGGAGCCTAAACTGTACTAGTCTGATCACCAGACATGCAAAGAAATAAGGAATAAGTACATGCCGCTTTACTTTGCATTTATATATCGTTTTCGTATCACGCACTTTGTTCAGAATTGCCAGGTGGAGGAAAAGCTTTGGGCCGAACACTCAAAAATAATTTTCCGTTGGGTCAATGTTCAAATCGCAGTGGGCCATGAGCTAATGCTCAGATCACAGTGGACCTTGGATTGCTTTAACTCACCGCATATATTTCGTCTCTTTTCTTTCTACTTATCTATCAAAGAACAGAACAAAGCAAAACGATTTCTTGAGGTGTTTATATTTCGGGCAGGACAAAACCACTTATCGTTTATCGCCTTTTCTTGCAACAGCATAGTTTCTTGCCTCAAGAAATACCCAAAAATCTAGATCACTAGATTTTTCCTTGATTGCAATTATTTAGTAATGACAATGGACATCTAGTAATCGAGCGATTGCTAGATTTCTCCTTAGTTGCAACTATCGATTTATCGAGCGATTTAACTAATACTAGTTGTACATGCAGTCTAGTTGTGCGTGGCAAGTCCCTTTTCAAACTAGTAATCTATAGATGAAAACCAATCGTGCATCACCGGACTATAGAAAAAATGTATCTAGATTTTCCCATAGGTGATTTTTGCTTGAGTGTATTCTTCATGTAGAAAACATAGCAGTATCATGTGTAGAAGAACTAAATAAGTTCATTACAGTATAGAAATCAAGATGAATAGGCATCAGCTTGTCTGCATCGTGATTCCGAAAGAAAGCAGTAACAACTGGTGACCAGTTTTTTCCACCAGTTACTATAAACGATGAGAACTGAAGCTATCCCACTTCTACATATCGTATCAATAATTTAGATGATGGTTGAATGTAGAGATCACACTGATATATTTTTTGTCTATAAATGTTAATAGATTTCTACCTTATTCTCTCATCCAGTCTCTAGAAATTACATGAAAATATCTGATCGTAAGTTCATTTGTCAATCCTATTAACAATTGAGGATAAGTAGACTCTCTTGTATCGTGCACAGAGCAGATATAACTGGTACCTTCCATGCTAATTTCTATATATACTTCTTGTTTTCTCACAGAAAAAATTCGAGAGTACGCTCAATTACTGTCTCCCAAGCATGGCTGTACACATGGCTAAGCATTGTCATTTCATACACCACATATATATTTATTGAAGTTAATGGGTAACTTCACACTAAAATCAGCTACACTAAAAATTAAACAGGGTAGGGAACAGGGAGCAACTATTCATAAAACAGTTGATAGTGAATTAATTGATACCATAAATTTCAAACTATATTTATTGATCATTACAGTTTTTGATGACTCACAACCAGCCGTCAGTCAAACAGCTGTAAAAATGCAAATAGTACATTTCTTTCTAGTTCTTATATTATTAGTAACATTTTATAATATACCTGTATGACGAATATACTAACGATAAACGTGCTTATATTTACTTTAAGTACATTACCGACATCATTAGCAGCACTACATAGTAATCTCAATAACTGAATTTATTAGCATTTTTTTTACGTTCATCGATTTTCATATTCAGAAAATTTAAGAAATAAAATACCCATCCATCTCCATCAAAACAAAATTCATGATTTTCATAGCATATAAATCAACTCTAACTGTTAAAAATCTTATCATGTGTTATGTTTGATTAGTCAACAAACTCGCATCATCATTCGAACATACTCGAGCAGAACAAAAAACACCTAATATCCTACGTACATTATATAATTATGATCAAAATCGAAGGAAACTCAGTCGATAGTAAGGAATGACAAAAAAAATAAACATTGAGTAAAAAGAAAAATGCTTGCCTGGGGACAATAATCATCAACACCAATATTAACGGATGTCAATAAAAATCAAAACGTAGTATATATAAGAACATTCAGTTTACTGCAAGCAAAACGTCAAGATTCATTACATAAAGTGAAACCTGCGTTTAAATATAAACATGGCAACAACACTAGAAAGACTATCGGCCGCAGTAGTACGCAACGCATGTGTTGGTATTCCGACCTCTATTATCATTACTGATGTGAATGGATATTCAAAAGCATTTGAAGACGAAGAAGAAGAGCATGCTTTGTGGTGGTCAGAAGAGTTTTTGAACGAGCTTCATGATGAATTTTTACTAGGATCAAACGACTCGTTTATCAATAGCACCTCCGATGAAGTACAAAAAGAAGAAAATATATATACATTGCAATTCGAAACAGAGAAGCATTTATTGAAAGAAATACTTGAAGAAGAAGAAGGAGAAGAAGAAGAAGAAAATATATATACATTGCAATCAGAAACAGAGAAACATTCATTGAAAGAAATACTCGAAGAAGAAGAACAAGAAGAAGACGCTGATATCGAACAACTTCATCGTGTATTAGCAAAAGAATTTGATCGTATTGATGCATTTTCACGATCACATTCAAAGATTCCATGTTTAGATGATGATGATGTAACATTACAAACAGCATCAGTGGTTGAGGTCGATATTCCGTCTGCTATTATTACTAGCGATGTATTAAACGAAACATTGTTATCGAGTAGCAGTTCAAAAAAAGAAAATATAAGTCTATGTTTGAAAACAGACATGCTACGCTTAAGAATTCGTCATGTTGGTGGTATAATTATTGCAAAATTACGAAGTTTTAAATTAGGCACAAGTGAAAAACAAAAATGCATTGTTAAAAAGAGTTCCATATGAGAGTTGTCAGAGAGAAAGCATCTCAATAGAAGAAAATGTAACAATTGTCTTCCATGCCATTTAACAGTCTGCAAAATCATTTTTTGCAATTGATATTGTCTGCTTATCTGTTCGTTTTTCGTATTTGTGTTAAAAATATTATTCGCATCCAGTAACAAGCAACTTTTAAGATTAATCAGAGAGTGGGGGAAATGAATGAGGTTTTGCTCAAAAAGTCTCGAACTGGTACAGCGTGACTCGATCTGTGCTGAAGGGCGCTATGTTCGAAGACTTTCAGATCATGTACGTTCGACGAAAGGCTTTTAAGAAAATATTATTCATCGTTTAACAAGCATTTTTACTTAGAATTCGAACTCTAATCAGCTTTGTTCAACATTTTATGTCGCATTTTTCGAAATTCTGGACATCAGCACAGTGCTTTTGGACGTCTGGAAAACTTAAAAAGATTTTCCTACATTCATCAATGTTCGTTTGATGTTAGCAAACGTAAGTGAATGTGCGAATAAGGACGTAGTTTAAAATCTTTATTCTTTAAAACAAAAAACAGAGAAACGACAATGAACGACGATGGCAATGTGACTGACAATGTTGAAGATATCGATGAATCGTTACTAGCTGTACCACGTTCACTCAATTTATTCTTAAGAATCACTGCAAAGAAAGGACGATAGATTTATCAATGTTTATTTAGCTCAATCGATGTTTCCGTTTTGGACTCAAAACTTAAATGCTGGCGCGGACAACATTTCTAGAAAGATACTTGATTTCTTAATCGAGAGAAACTGCTTCCTTCACAGTTATCACATTCTTCGAAACACTCTAAAACCCGCTAAAAGAGCCATCTATAGAAATCTGCATTTTGTAGGTATTGGAATTGAACTGTTAGTTAATTACACCATTGTATGCGATGAAGTCCTGCCTTTATACTTTATTGCTGCTCTACTGTTGTTCGCTCAAGTTTTACCGGAAACTAACTCTGCTTAGAACGTAGTACTCCTTGTCAATTTTTTTCTATGAAAAATAGAAACATTCGATTGAATTGTAACAGAGACTTGAAATAGTGAAAGTAAAATATTATATAATAATTGCTTCATTCTAGGCAGCGGTTCTTGGGCAAATTAATGAACTAATTTTGAAAAACTTAATACGAGTAAATGAATGATGAATTGAAAAATTAAAAAAATAGCCGACCACTTATTCCAAACTTATACAAACCAACTTTGAATCTCCCTGCTTCTTTACTATAAAAAAAAGATGTCTTAAGACATTATCGAATCTGTCTCATAGTGTTTCTACGTCTCAATCAGTAGTAACGTATCAGCAACGTTGTCTCAATATGTCTCGCATCTTAGTTCATTTCTGTCTCATGGTGTCTTTTGTATAGGTATGTAATCTTGTATTTCACTTTTTCCTCATGGAAAATCCCTTCTAAAGTGGTAGCTGCTACTTTAAAGCCACGTCATGATAAAAGGGCGAATAGTTACTTTGGCATGTTAGATTGGTTCTTAATCATTTCCTAATTCGGTAATGATTTATGTACATTTGTATCCGGCTGGCCGGACACTAGTCAGATCGGTTTGTATAATATTATATGCTCCAAAAGCCAGAATGAACCAATGTAATGGACGGTTTTCCGTTATCCATCCCTTTTTCTTTCTCTGGACGTTTTAGTTGTATTATTAAACCAAATTGTGAGCAGTAGGTGACAAAGCAGTTGCAAAGTCTGTGAAAAGCTTTTAAGACGGACGATACTCTTGTAGGAAAATTATATCTTATACTGGTAGCCTTTGGTCGAAAGCTCAAAACACCAAAAGTGAAAACGCAGAATGAATAGGATCGAAAAGCAGAAAGTAGAAAACGTGAAATGTCGAAAAAAACGACGAAAGTACAGAATGTCGAACGCGAATACCAACGAAAATATGGAAGTGGACTGGTATCTCCAAGATATTTTTTGCTCATAGTCCAAATCAGAATAGTCATTTGCTGTTCTGTTTCTTTGCATAATAAAGAGAAGTAAAGAATAAAGAGAAGTGTAAAGTGTTGTATTTTTTTAATCTATACCAGTACCAAAGGGACACAAATAAGATTTGGTGTTTGGACAGCAATTGGCTTAATTATTTATTTTGCCTATAGTATGAGCAACTCTAAGTTGGGAAAAGTCCAAATTCTTCTGAAAGGACACCATCAGATCGACATGGTGTCTTAAGATTACAGCAACCGCAACAATTTAAAACAGAAAGTCAAACAGAACCGAATCTTATATATATAAACACTACTGACAATGAATTAATAAATTCTGCCAAAGTTTGATCATCTTTTTCGCTAAATTTTACTGAGATACGAGTAATAAACAACTAATGTATTCCCAAGGCGAGTTTTCAGTTTATTACCTGAGCGAGCTTTCAAATATTCTTTCGTTGAACAGCTAACAGTCTCTAAAAGTAGCGCGTACAAAAAGCACGTCACACAACATCTACCGTGACATACGATAGTGCCATCTCCTTCTATCCTGCATTATATCATCGCCTTGTCAGTTATCTTGGTTAAGATAATTCTCCTGGGTCGGGCCTCCAGTGAAAGAAGGTGTATACATATTATCTGGACGTTTCAAAAACCACACGTCTGATTTTGAATCCATTATTAACAAAATTCTCAATCGTCTAGCATAGTTTTTTCTACTTTAGCACAACAAAGTATGCTGATGAGTTAACAGAGAGTGCTCTTTGTCATTGCACTTTAACTATTGGAGACTCAGAAGCAAAGAAGCAAAAACCTTAGATCTTTTGCTGAAAATGTTTGCAACCAAAATCGAATTAGAAACATCAAATTCATAGAAAGAAAAGAAATTGAAAAGGTCAAACGTGATAGTTGGATGTTGAAGAAGCGATAAAAAACATTTTATCTTTGAAGGGAGAAAAGAAGCAATTTATTTACTTTTTGCCGCTCTTCTATCCGACATATAACAATTTTACCAGGTTTCCTTCTTTTTTTTTTCATTTTTCAACTGCGACAATGTCTGCAACAACAGATGAGTGCAAATCATCGTCTCTTCGTAATGAAAATTCAATATTTTTATATGATGTTCCAATTACAGTGCAAAAAGTGTCCAAAGCTGTGACATTTTTATTTCACTTATTTTTTCAACGAAAATTTATTGTTCATCGTCTAACTGGCTTAGCCTATTTGGTTCAATATGCAATGGCTCTCTATTTATATTTTAAAAATTATGAATTATTCAAAAATTCATGCTTAATTTGGTCCTTGCCATTAACCGGTCTACTTCAATCAATAACAGCTATATTTACATTTACATTTTTACCGAAAAATAAACTTGATTCTGGTTATTATACTGATCGTGGCTTACTATCCTACGCGTTTATTCTTGAAAACTCATTTTTTTCCGGTATACTACTGTTTCCATGGCTATATTATTCTGATCGATTCTATAGTTTTATCAGTTCCTCGATAATCATCGATAATATTGTAGTATTTATCCCCTATATACCGAGAATGTTATGGCCAAAAACACAATTGAGAGAATCATTGAAAAATGCTTCGAAAATTAAAACAAAATCAAGTAGAATATTTTATCTTTTTATTACAACGATGACAAAAGTATTTTATATCTGGGCCAAACATTATATTGGCTATTTTTTGAATTATATTCGATTTCTGAATCGGGCAACAGATGAGCAAATATATCATATTTATTTACTGTTAATATTTAGTGCATTTGCCACAACAATATCAATATTTCTTCATACATTAAAATTTAAAGGATATATTGCACCGAAAACATCAGTTATGTTGTATGTGATATCTTATTTAGCCACATTTTATTCATTTATACAAATACGTGAAGTATTCATTGTCAATCTCGATATAACATTCTATGTACTAATAGGCCTGGTATTAAACTTTACCCGATTTCAACATCCGTATCAATTTTGTTTAATGATTTTATTTAATCTATTTAAACATAATGGATTGCCAGCAAATGTAATCCAATATTTGTTTTTAACTACACGATAGGATATGACTTTAGATAACGATGGAAAATTTTTTTTGTTTTCTGTTTTGATATACCAAGTTTTATCCGTACAATAAAATTGTTAAAAGACAGATTTTTATTAGTAAATAATGATGTTTTACACATACATTTTTACATCCTAAAATTAAAAAAATATAATTTTGATCAAAAATAATTAAAAAAATCTACAACTCAGTCAAAGTTTATTTGTATAATTGAATACTCCTCATTTATATAGATGTAGATTTGACATATGTCGAGCAAGCACACCTTTAGTATTTTACTTATTACATGTGTGACAGATAACTGTGATGTGTGGTTGTGTCTGACTAATATTGTTTAGCTTTTTACTGTTTGTCTTAGTTTTGTCAAAAACAACAAGGATCAAGACTTAGCCAGTTTTATGTTAGTTTGTGACAAACAAATGAGCGAAACTCAGTTTGTTGATTGAAAGTTGAACATTTGATGAAATATAAAATTTGTTCTTTTCTTATTCTTTAAACAGAAAAATTTCTCTTATAAGAAAGTCTAAATAATATTAGAGTAGAATAAACTGTAAAAGAAATTGTGTTATTGATCGGATCAAGTTGATCCGAATCTTCTCAGTTTCATGTAGGAATGAATATTCAGAAGACTACGGCGAATCGAATCATATATTTTTTTTGAAAAGAGCATATGTTTTCATGCTCTCCTGCAGTGAAGAAAAAACTGATAAGTGTGTCGAAAATATATATCTTCTTCCTCATTTCAAGACGCCACAGCTTTTCTGTCCTAATTTTGACACTTTCATTGAAATACATGACCTTTCAATAGGCTTTTATAAAAAAAATATGAACGCTACTCGAAAGTCAAAATTATCATATACTCTCGGTCTACGTGTTTTCTATTTTTCTCCTATTTATTTAGAATCCTAAGGTGAGTGCTCCACAAAATGAGTACTCCTCTTTCCTTTTTCTTCTGCTTGTTTACTGACACGTTTTCTTCTTGTCTTGTCCTATAAGCTGATATCCTTCCACAACACGTCTCTTTCGTTTCTTCCAGATATCTGACAATATAAATAACTATATGCGTAGCTATAGTTAGCAGCACTGACAGTGCTGAAAAGTAAAACATTCTTGATATCAGCTTAGAGGACAAGACAAGAAGAAAACGTGTCAGTAAACAAGCAGAAGAAAAAAGAAAGAGGAGTACGCATTTTGTCTGTGTACATGCAAGAAGAATGCGGATACAGTACACAAATTAGTAAGCTGAAGTCACTCACAGTTATAACGACACAACAAGTTTTATATGAATATAAAATACAGGAGAACGAAGAAGAATAGCAGAAAAATGTTGAGTACTGTTGTGAGAGATTGTAGTAAGAAGAAAACGTTTTCTTTTATCACGTAATCGAGAGCAGGATAGGGATAGGGAAAACGAATTAGGAGGTTCAGCGGATGCTGTTATGATCTGCCTTCCCCGGCAGCTCATAAGGTTCATTCTCTCTCCATTCTGCTCTTGTATCTTTCTTGCGCAATTCTGTTATTGCGCAACTCTTGTTTCATTCTTTCCTTTTCGTTTCCTTCCGCAAAGTATTTTCCCACTCTTTCTGTTCTTGCGCAACACTTTTGTCAGTCTGTGATCTTCCTAACT